TGCCGATGAACTTGCCACCAGTTCCAGACTTGGAGAGAAACTGGGCAATACAGCCAAATATGCGTGGCTGTCTCCCACCCCCATTGACAGCGAACACATTGCACATCCACTGCCATACCTTTGTCCGAGAGCCATTTGGCCGATGGAGTAGCTAGGAGCCATTGTAGCCATTGCAGACTAGCCTGTCTCTGAGATGGAATAAATTTTAAGGCTTTCCACAACTTGGAGAGGTCCACTGAGCCCGCTTCAAATCCAGGTTCCTTCCTCAGGCGCTCCACAGCGATGGAGATAGGCTGCTTCTTGCCCTTTGCTCTGAGGATCTTCACCCCCCATCTTGGTTTATATTGAAAAATCGGGGAAAAGGAGGATGGCGAGTCTAGGCCTGCCCAGCCAAACTGCAGAGGCTCAATTGATATATCCGAGGCATCCTCATACAAGATTTGTATTTTGCCTTTGCCCTCAGGGTCTGGCGCCCAGATTCAGATTCTGCTTTCCTCAAAAACCCCAGTAGAAGCCACCACCTTCTTACCCGTATGTCTCAAGCATGTAATCAATTTTCTGTCCGTGAATGTGTGCCACACCTGAACCTTGGTCCCATGAGGGATCTCCGGTCCTATCACCCGTAAAAAGGATCCGGGTGTATCGGGGTCTTTTAGCCAGGTCCCAGCCTGGGGGTCCTTTGCATTCCGCAGAATAGTCATCCAAAAATCCGGTATGGCTTTCCTAGTCTCCGAAAAATGCCACTCCACATTCTGGCAGCGAGGAAGTAGCTTCCGCAACTGATTCTCCTGCATCCAGCAGCCGCTTGTCTGATCCCATACGTCTTTTATCTGGATAACTCCTTTCTCTACCCATATTCTTCCGAAGGACCCTCTAGAGCTGTCTGCCATGAAGGGGGTTCCATCTTCCTTTACAATCCCAGGATTCTCAAAACGATACTGGTTTAACACTTCGTGTAGCGTTGAAGGTCGCGGTCTATCTGAAGGGAACAGCTTGCTCCTCGTCTTTGTTGGTTGGCTAACAACTTTTTCTATTCTCTGTATGGAAAATATTATTTCTATTATTTATTTTTATTATATAATAATAATATTTGCATTTTGCCTGGCGTTGCAAGTCGTTTTGGTCAGGTAGCCTGAGCCCCTGCTTTGCATGAGCCCCTGCAAAAGCAGGGCGCGGGCTAAACCACCAGTACGTCGCCCAGCCATTTCTTTTTCGACCGAGCCATTTCTGCGTCGTGAATTTCTGCGGTTGGGCTACCATGAGCAAAATGGCTGGCAGCACCAGCCCTAAGAAGGCCTGCACCGCATCTCCTGCAGTTTGGGTGTTGGGCAACCGGAGGAGAATGGCTGGCCTGGCCAACAAAAAGAAGGCCTGCCCCCCTTCACTTTTCTTTTGGGCACACAGGGCATTTCCACAGCACTCCATGGTCGAAGGTGCTGGTGACTTAAACCACCAGTACTTCCTAGAGTCGCGGCCCGTTGACGCACCACGATTCTAGGAAATGTACGGGCTACTACAAGAGCGCCCAAATTCATCCGACTAGAAACGTTTCTACTCTTTTTTTTTTTCCTCGGCCGATAGCTGGGCCAAGTACTGGTGGTTTAACCGCCACGTCAAAACTTAAAATCTGGGAAAGAGATTTTTTTTTTTTTTTTTTTTTTTTGTTTGTTTGAGACATGCTCCAGTCTATTCATGGGGAAAGGGAGTACGGGTGGTTTAACAAAGACTTTCCTTGAGACGAAATAGCTGGCAAATTACACTTTCACATACATGTTAGAAAAATGAAGAATCACCCCTGATATGGCTGGAGAAGATTCCAGTCAGATGCATCGGAGTCTGGCTGCCATTGCAGTCAGATACATTTCTGAATGTGCTACTGTGAGTATCGCCTTAAAGCGCCAGTACACCACACATCTGCCCCCAGCGGTCAGCGCGAAACCCACACCACTTCGGAGGCCACCAATTTTTTTTTTTCAATGGCGCCCCACGCCATGCGGCCCCTCCGAGTTTCGCTTGTGGCAACAAAAACTTTCTGCAAGGCTGGGGCCGTGCACTTGCGGTTTAAGAATCCCCACCAGCACCTTCTTTCCCTGAATAGAACATCACCTTCGCTGTACCAGTATTTGGGCAATTCTCAGTCCAGATACAGCTACAACGACCATGTGTTCTATTTGCAGGAGAATGGCAGCAACCACAGCAGAGGCAACGCGATACTTTCACTTTCGCAATCACTTCAGAAGACCGAACAGCAGTGATGTCAAATTTGTGCCCCACTTCTCAGAGCATACTCACACTAGCACCACACATATCTTAAATGTATCTGACCACAACTACGACCCGACCAGGACGTCTCCGGACACATCTGGAGCTCAGGGACGTCCAGAGCCCAGTTTAAAAAGTCCTCATGTGAATTCGCCCTCACAATAACATTCGAAAAAGTGAACAGAAACCACAGCAGATGCATGCTGCTCAAGCCACCTCCACTCCCCTACAACTCCAAATGTCCCGATGTTATAACTCCCCAAGAGCTCTGGGCATCCAATCGAATGCCATTGTCTACATCATCAGGTGCTCTAGAAACCCTTGCAGCGGCCAATGTTCGTGACGATCGCTGCAACCTGCTGACACGTAGCATCGGCGATACACGGAAAAGAATTCCACCTTCATAAAAACATCAAAACAAAGCGAGATTTTGCAAAATACCCCTGCAACCCCCTGTCAGTTCACGTGTACGCTAAAACAGGCCTGGAAGTCGTGGGTCGAGCAGAATACCGCTCCAAAATTCCAAAAGTTTGTGCAATACCTTCTACGATTTGAATCTTTGCAATCTACCCTGTGAGGGTATTGTGCAAATTCATGTTCTGGCCCTGATGGGGTATTATCTGGTCAGCTCCGGCATGGCAGAAGCAACTGGAATTCCGGTTGAACCACCTCTCAACCGGTTTGATCTGGTCAGCTCCGGCATGGCAGAAGCAGCGGGTTGCCAACCCAGCCCTGCAGTCCTGAAAGCTCTTTCAAGCTCAGCCCTGCTCGACATCCAGATCTTCATCCCTCTTTTCCCACTCGCATCACGTCTGGCACTCGGACACAGCAGGCTTGAAAGAGGGACTATTAAACCACCAGTACGTTTCCCACCCTTTTTTCTCCAATGTGGTGTGCATGCGGCCACAAGTTTCTGGGGTCAGCCTACCAGAGCAAACGGCTCGTGCCTCCAGCCAAAAGGAGGTCCCCTCTGCATCGTTCCTCCCCTCCCCCCCCGCCCCCCCGGACACGCAGGGCATTCCCAGGCTCGGCGGTCGTCAAAAATTTCAGGTGGTTTAAACAGCACACTTCTTGGTCGAAGCAGACGATGCGGAAAAGACGACCAATTTTTTTTTTCCGAGACGTGTCAGCTGACGCCTCTTGAAATCAAGGGTCCTGTGAGGGGTCAACCGAAGACACTTGAAATCAAGGGTCCCGTGAGTTGCAGGGGTCCTGTGAGGAACTGAAGTGTTTCACGAGGTTGGAGAAGAACTGCAGCTCTTGGAGAAGAATTTTAAGTTCTAACACAAGTTGCGTATTTTCGGCTCGGGGTTTTGAAAAGTTTCTAGAGCTGCAGTCCTGTGAAAACGACTGTCCAAGACTGGTGTGGCGAGGCCAAACGACACAGAGGCAAACAAAAAAGAAGTAAAAAGCCAAACAGAAATCGTTTGAAACAGCATGGCGTAGTGAGGCATCGAATGCAATTGCGAGCATGGCGCTGTCAGAAGACACAAATCTCATCTCATCTCAAAGACGTACATCATCACAAGCGTGCAGGATGGACTTAAAAAGAAAGAAAGAAGAAAGAATGATATGACCAAACACAAACTATAATGCAACTACCTAACACAACAACAGGGACAAGCAATTCAATCATTTAGTGCCCATAGCAGGACACGTAGATGTACGTAGAATGTATGCTACCATCTGCTTGCATCCAACCTACCTTATCCCTGCCCTGCTTGCAAGGACTTAATGCCTACCACAGCCTGGATCTGCAGTTGCAACTACTGCCGCCTGGACCTGCAGTTGCATCTAGACAGAACTTATGAAGTCAACTGAAACACATAATGAAACGACAACCAAAGAAAACCAGAAGTGATTTCTCTGACATTTTGAAAAGAAAAAACATGGAAGA